TACAGAGACAAAGAGAGAGGGAGAAAGAATTAGCTTGTAATGCTGCTTCTAGCTTCCCAAATCTGTCCAACAACAGCAGGAAACAGAATAATTCATTGTTAACGCTGTCCCTCAGCGGTTCACACAGCGGACAGATGGACACCTCGCCAGCCCCTTCCATACGTGGAATCCCGAACCTGCCCCGGCAGCTCATCGGTTAAGCCCAGGGTCTTTTTTATCCTTTGATTTCTCTTTAAAACATCTTTGGCAAAAGTCTACAAAAGAAGACAAATGCAATTCCTCCCCTCCGCTCTGCAGACTGCCTTGTACAGGTATTTGCAATAGGCCTGCTGTGTCACACAGGGAGTGAGCGTTAAAACCGCTGTCCTCAGGGCCAAGGCTGCATCTTCCCGCTGCAAGCACAGCATACCTCACATGGACCTGAAGGCTTTGGGGGCCCGGGGCATCTCTGCACAGCGATCCCATCGGTTGACTTTCCTATCCTCCCTGTGGACTGCCCTCGCTGCCAGGAGCCTTCCGCGGGGGAAAACAGCAGAGCCCCGTGTTCATTCCTCCACTGGAGGGAGGAAGACCCATGTGGGGCTGGCGGATCAGATGGGGCAGCCTCCGATGGGCTCGTCCTCACTGCTGGCCGAGAGCCAGGGGACCGATGGCCAGTGGCCCCGCCAGTATACCTCAGTCCCCATCCTCCATCACTAGGGCCACACGCTCTCACTGTCACAGGGGGAGCATGTGCCACTTAAAAAGGCCACTGTCTGAGTCCGGGTGGCACTCGTTCTGTGCTCAGCCCTTCCCTTCGATTCTGAGATGCCCCGTACACTCTTTAAAGTCGACTGTTAGTCAAAGATCCACTTCTGAAGGCTCCACTTAGTTCCACACAGGCAAGGGAAGCAGTAACTTCCCGTTCTGCTTTCATCCTTTACATCATCAGCATCCCAGGACGTTAAAAGCAAAGGAGGAGTTTTCCTTCGGTTTACAGAAGCATTCTTGGAAGGCTTTGAGGAAAAAAAGGCCACACAGCTGCAAATCCAGTCATTCTAAGCCCTACACAGTGACTGCCCGGGCGGTACGTGCTGGCAGCCCAGTACATGCATGTGTAAGAGGAACACATCCTTATGGGGGGCATTCCGTTTCTTAGGGAACTCTGGGCAACCCAAACCCGATGTCACGGGCACACCCCGCCCACCACCCGCCGGTCCTGTCATGCTCGCCCGCTCAGCCACGAGTACAGGGCTGGAGGCAGATGGTCCATCTACAGGGCGCACCCACGGTCAGCAATGCAAAGGGGCGACAAAGCAGCCAGGACTGGAGGATGACTTCGCCACACTTCAATTATTCAGAGAATGACCTTAATCGGGGTAGTCCAACCCCACAGCACCCAGACTCCAATTACTTGAATGGGAGCCGAGTTTCCCCTGGTTATCTCCCCTTCTTTGTTTAACTGGCGGGCCTGGCTGGAACATTCTACAGGTCTACTGCAGGAGACAAATAGCATCAGGGGATTGTCAAGTTCCCAGTGGAAGGAGCAGCCCTGGGTCTCTGCCCACAATACTGACTTGCTCTCCACTATTCCTCGGGTCTGCGTGGAGGGGCAGCAGAGACTCAGAATGGACCAAAGCACTGTGGGATGAACTACCAGGCCAGACGGTGGGGAGAGGATTCCGGAAGAGCCGTGACCTCAGGCCAGGCTGCCCCCACCGGCCCCTAGGTGGGCAGATACGGCTAAACCACTCCACACCAAGGGGCGCTCAGCACTGCAACAGGTCGGCAGTGCTGCTGGCTGCCGCGGGACCTGCAGCTCTGCCAGAACTAGCTGCCATCACCCTGGGCACGAGCAGGGGCTCCTCTGTGACCTGGAGATGCCAGCACCTGCACAAGGGGACAAGGGCTTATGTGTACTGGCCCATCGAGCCAGCTGAGCATTTATACAAAACCCCAAGCCTTCCGACACAAGGTGTTTGTGGGAAACGTTGATCAACACTGGTCAACTGTTTCCTCCAGTGACAGTGGTCCAAGGAGGGTGGTAAGCCGTACCTTAACTGTGTTTTTGTCATGGGCCTCATTTCCTCACACGTTAGATGTTATCATCTATATAACTCTTTGCTGTAGGCTGCTTATAATTCAATTCTTCCCTCCACCTTATATGAAATAAAAAATTCAAGTAAGGACCAGAACTCCTAACACCCACTTAAAAATCACAGCCATGGGCTTCCCTGGTGGTGCAGTGGTTACGAATCCACCTGCCAGTGCAGGGGATACGGGTTCGAGCCCTGGTCCGGGAAGATCCCACGTGCCGCGGAGCAACTAAGCCCGTGCACCACAACTACTGAGTCTGTGTTCTAGAGCCCGCGTGCCACAACTACTGAGCCCGCGAGCCACAACTACTGAAGCCCACGCGCCTAGAGCCCGTGCTCTGCAACAAGAGAAGCTGCCGCAATGAGAAGCCCGTGCACCACAACAAAGAGTAGCCCCAGCTCGACACAACCAGAGAAAGCCCACATGCAGCAACGAAGACCCAACGCGGCCAAAAATGAATAAATAAATAAAAATTTAAAAAAAAATCACAGCCCATGTCCCTCTTTGTCACAGAGCTGAACCCGCCCACAGGTGGGAAAGACCCCGGATGCGGGGGCCTCCATCCAGAGGAACCCCAGGGACAGCTGCCAGGGCTGCAAGCACCAGAGGTTACAGGACCCTCCCTGGGCTTCACCGATGGGTCAAGAGATTGTTTTCTGGATGAAATCAGCAGACATACTGCCCGTATCTAAATATCATGTGGCAGAAAAGCTGGGAGAACAGTCTGCCAACAGGATGGGTGAATTTCGCTGGCCGGGACACACGCTCCGAGCTTCTTCAATCAACAAAATGGGGTTTCTGGCCCAAAGCGGTTTTTGAATCACTGCCCAAGCGCCAGGAGCATATGTACGAGGCTGAGAGTCAATCTCTAACACGCATCCATTTAGAAGGCTGTCGCTCTCGGCGGAGGGAAGACCACTCAGAGAGAGGGCCGCAACGCCTATTCCCTAGTGGGCTATCAATAGCGACTAAGACAGGCTTCAAGCTCAGTTTTCAATTGTATTTATTTGGTCCTTTCAGACGGAACAGAGTTGTCTCGGGGCCCACAAAACCTGAGCAACCCAAAACTAGAAGAACTACAAAGACCTGGACAGCTTGTGACACTCACCTGTCTTCTAGGAGTCAGCCAAGGCTGCTCGCTTTACCGACAGGGTTATGAAGTTCACAGGGAATTCGGGCTGCATCAAACCTATAGGGTCGTAAAATGCTCATCTGATACAACTACACGGAAACCTGAGGTCCTTGGAGAGAGCATTTTCCGAGACTGAAATCCTAAGAATGTTTTATAAAAATACACAGCTTTTCCTCAAGGCAACTCTGTCCCCCAACCATACAAGTACTTGGTGTTCATCTTTCACAAGCCCAACATCTGCCGCTTTGAGGTAACTGAAGGCAACACGGCTTCAGACAACTCCTGGCAGCTGCTCTCATACAAACCTCCTTCCAACAGCCCTGAACAGCAGCGAGGCTTGCGAAACTCTCAGTAAAAAGTCTCTTTCTGAAAAGAGCTGGGGACGGCCGCTGGCCTGTGGCAGCAGACAGGATTCTCAGGACTGCTTCCCAGGCGCTTCCCCTGGAGTCTAGGAACCCGGCACCAGGGATTCACCCAGGACTCGGGGCAATGCCCACCTAGGGCAAGGCATTGGGAACGCAATGGGACAGCCTGGGCCTGGCCTTGACCCTGGACCAACGGATGCTAAAAGTGAAAGTGACTTAAAGCTTGAGGTGTGCACTTTCCATGAAGCACAGAAGAGCATCATTCGTTGGACCCTCAGTCTCCTGATGGTGTGCCGGCCAGTCCACTGCACATGCTCTCTCTCCGTGGCTACCTCCTTGGGTGAATCTCAGCATCACGGTAAGAATCTTTTACTTCCTGATAACAAAACTCATTACTCTAAAAGGTTGACTGGAAACACTCGAGAGACAATGCAGCAGAGGCAGAGCCCAGCTGACCTTTCTTTTCAGTTCCCTCTTAACACCAGGATTGGAGGGAAAATGTCCTGAGTCCCGCACAGAAGATCACATTTGTTAAAGAAAAACAGTCCCTGCGCTCCCTTTTCTCAATACTGTGGCCATGGCCATGACCCTGGCCCTGGCCTGGTCCCCAACCCCAGGTGACACGTTTCAGTGATACAGGCTCTCCTTAACATCACCCTCCTCCACCATCTAACACGTTGACCCTTTCCACTGAGATGGCAGTTACAAAGCCATCTCCACATGAACAATTTGCAGAGGCGTTAAGGATGACATCAGAAAAAAACCCTGAGCCCAATGGAAATCTAGCTCCATGTCATCTTGGGCTAGTCCCTTAGACTCTGTGCCCCAGTTTTCTCACCTATAAAGTGGACCTAGAAGTGCAATTATTTTTAACCATTTAAATACTGTCTGAACTCCCCCGGGGGAAATCACGCTGGTACGGACTGAGAAAAGGATCCCTCCAGACCGTGAGACTCTAGACCCTAAGTGCAAGTTCTTAACTCTTTTGGAGTTATCTGAGCATCTGGTGAAAGCTTTGACCCTAAACACATGTCCCACACTAAACCCGTGGGGTTTGAGCATCACTGAACCCACGTAACATCTCTTGCTCCGCAGGGTTTTGCAGGCATATGAATTGGTCACGATCTTAATTAAGATTTGAAGGCCCAACTCTAATGAACAAATTGAAGCCCACTCAGACCACGGGGGTGTGTGTGGGGGGCTGCACCGAGCCCACACCAAGCGCCCGTTCCCTCAGACCACAAGTGACGAACAAAGCCCAAACACCTCTGGGGGTGTGGGGGCCCTTCCCGACCTCCAGGGGGAGGGCTCTCCGGAGCATGCGCCCTCGCACCCTGCCCCGGCGCCCGCCACCCCCGCCTCCCCGGCGGCGCGAGACGGCGCAGGACCGCACGGGGCATGCGCGGCTGCCGCCAAGCCCCGCCCCCCCGGAGCGCCGGAGCCGAGGCGGCGGGAACCTCAAAGCCCCGGCATGAACCGCCGCTCCCGCAGCGCGCTGGCGGCCCCCTCCCCCGCGGTGCCGGGGCCGACCGGCGGCCAGAGGGGGCCAGGGGCGACCGAGGACACGCTGCGCCGCGCCCCGGGCCCGGTGCGCGCCTCCCCTCCTCCGGCCAGAGACAACTTGGAAAAGTCTCCCTTCCCGGGGCGGGAGGGGGAGGGGAGGCGGAGGGAGTCGGCTCGAGCGGCGCCGGGGGCGGGGCCATGACCCCCTCGCGCGGGCGGGCGCGGGCTCCGGGTGCCCCTCCCCCGGCGGGGGGCCCGGGGCGCGCGCCCCAACGGCCAACGGCCGCGCAGGTGGGCGGCGGCGGGGTCGGGTAGGCCCCGGCCCGCGCCCGCCCCGCGCCCTTTTGTTATGCGGTGGCGGCGGCGATGATTCAGCCCGCGGCCTGCGCCGGCCCCGCCGCCCCCGGTCAGGACGCGCGCGGTGACGTGCCGCGGCCCTTGCCCCCCGGCCCCCTGCCCCGGCCCCGCACTCACGACGCGCTCCTTGGTGTGCTCAGGCTCGGTGATGACCACGGCCGCGCCGCCCGCCTTGCCTGCCGCCGGCCGCGCCGCGCGCTTGCCCCCGCCGGGGGCCCCGTCGAGCTCCAGGCCGTCTTCGTCGCCGCTGCTACCGCCGCCGCTGCTGCTGCTGCAGCGCTCGGGCCGCTCGCGCTTCCTGCCGGCCGGGCCACCGCGCTTCCTGGGCCCGGCACGGGCCGTGCCGTTGCCCGAGCTCGGCTCCTCCCAGGCCGCCGCCGCCGCCTTCTTCCTGGGCATGGTCGCGCTGGAGGAGACACGGGGCAGCGGCGCACAATGGACGGGTTATAAACTGCGCGGGGGGAGGGGAGCCAGCCGAGCCACCGGCCTCCACTTCCTCCCCTGCCCTCCCCAAAGTGGCGGCCGCGGGGTGGGCGGAGAGGGGGCGAGCCGGGAGGAAATCGCGCCTCTCCTGGGCCCCGGCGCGCCTCCTCCGGGGAATCCCGCACGGGAGCCCAGGTCCCCGACTGCAATCCGCTCAGGGAAAGAAAAAAATGGAGGACCCCCCCCCCCCGAGCCCATCCTCAAGTTAGGTTTGCCTACATCGCATCATAATTGCAGCCAGGTCCCCAAAAAGTAAAGGGAAAGAAAAAGGAAGTCTCTGATCCCCGAGGTTTTAATTAGAGAAGGCTTTGGGACACTTCAAAGACCCCCTTTTGGCACCTTGGTGAAGGAGCTACCCCCTCCGCGGCGGCCCCACCTGCTGCTTTTGTCTCCGCACCCCCGTCCGCAAGCCCACTCAAATGCAGTTCTCTCCACCCCCCGCCTGAGTCCCCAATTCCGCTCCAGCTTGGGGGTTCCGACCTCGGGGTCTAGCCGAATCCCTTAGGGTTGGCTGCCCCCCACAGAAGGGTGGGAGGGTGGTGGCGCAAATAGAGCCGGCCCCCGGCCCCAAACACCTGCTCGCACAGACACGAAAAATAAAAACTTTAATGGTGCCCGACACTCTTCCCGGCCCCTCCCCGAGCGTGCGGCTCAGCCGATCCTTCCGATCCCGGCTGCAAAGTGCCCGGCTCCGCCGCTACTTTCCCCCAGCGTCCCTGCCCCTTCGCCCTGTCTGCTTTTTTTTTTTTTTTTAAATTGATTTTGAACAATGGGATCTCTGTCTGTCTCCGATTAAACCACGTGGATCCGCCTTCCTTCCCCTTTTTATTCATTCAGTTCCCCCAACCTCCCCCAGGTTTTTTTTCTTTTTTTTTTACCTTTTCTCCTCTTTAAAAAAAAACTTTCCCAGACCCCGCAAACTGATCATTGTCGATTTCATTTTCAGCCCCTACCTGCGTGGAGTGATGAGAAACCGGAGAAAAAAGGAAGAGGAGAGACTAAAAGAACCGAAGGGCTTTTTTTCCCCCAGCCCAGACGAGGTCTCCAGCCCACTCACCAGATACACTTAAAATGTAAATACAAGCTTCCAGAACAAATGCTACAACACAAAACAGAAACACATGTGCTGCCGGGCGGCAAGCGAACGCGCGGCGGGGCAGGAGGCGCGGGTCCCGGGGCGCCCGCGCCCCCTGCCGGCCGGCGGACCCGGCGGCGGCCCGGCCCCCGCCCTCGCCCGCGGGGCAGCCCGGCCCACCGAAGCCTGCGCTGGGCGCCACGCCGCCAGCCTTCACTCCCCGATCCTGCGCGTTTCGCAGGCGGCGCAGCACGTCCAGCGCGTCAGAGATTACTTTGGGGGTTAGGAGAGTGTTAGATTGTTTTTCCTGGGCATGTCTAGACAGGTCACCTGAGGACACTCGCTGGAAAATAGTTACTTCGCTCACGAATCCGCCAACAAGGGACGTGTCCTAATTGAGTGGAATGAAAGATGAATACAATTTGAATAATTTTCTCCTGTGCAGAGAGAAGCTGTTATTTTATTTGCCTATGGATGTGCCCCAGTATGTAGCAAGGTGCTGTTACACGGTAGAGTTACATACATAAAGGTTTGCTGTATTAGCGAATTAATTTGGAAGCCAAGGAGGCACTGGAGGCTAGTTCTAATGGAAATTTTTCTTTTTTTTACAAATATTTACTGAGGCCTCAGTACATGCAAGACACACAGTGCTAGACGCTGAGGAAACAAAGCTAGAGAACAAGATTTGTGCCCTAGTGGAATGCACAGTCTAACGGTAAGACAGATAATTCAACAAGTAATTGCAAGCGTAAGTGATGGGGTTCGAGACACGCTACCCCAAATTACGCCACCTTGGCATATTGAAGAAACTGAAGAAGTTTTGAGGAAACAGCAGAAGCAGGAAGGTCATTCTGACCTTCTTCCCCCAAAACAGTCATAAATCCCTCAGGTGAGAGGTGCCCTCCCTGTTCCAGGAGGACAGGGACATCCTTATCTCTGAAAACAAAGGGAAACCAAGAAGAATCCTGATAAACAAGGCTTGTTAAATTGCCCCCAGTCTACTACATGTAGCCTCAAGCTCCTTAACCTCTCCAAGTTCTCCAGACTGTCCAGGCTTCAGCAAAACTAGCAGAAAGATACACACATCTGTTTCTTTGGGTCTTCATTTCCTTATGAAGTCTCCTGTGTCATGTAAAACTTAGGTTAAAATAAATTTGTAGGCTTTTCTCCTGTTAATCTGTCTCCGTCAGCATAATTTTCAAACCCAGCCAGGGACCAGGTCAAGGAAAGCTTTTTTTCTCCCCTATATAAGCATTACAAAGTGATGCTTATGTAGGGCCATTATGGCAAGGGAATTCATCCTATTCTGGGGTCGGGGAAGGCATCCCTGTAGAAGAATCATCTGAGCTGAGTGACTGACAGGGTGGGTAAGACTCAACAGATGAACAGGGGTGAGGAGACTTCCGGGGCGGGTGGAGGGAGCTGTACACACAAAAGTCCAGGGGTCTTGACATGCCTCCTGGGAGAAGTGTCCCGTGGGGTTGAGAGAGAACAGTATGGCTCGAGCTGGAGACGCAGGCCTGGTCTCCCCTTCTACATTATGACCTCAATATCACTTGGTCTCCTACCAAAGATTTTTACCGGCTTCCTTTTTCCTTAAGCATTCTGCACAAGGAAGTTCCTACTTTAGGCAACTTCCTGAAGATGGCTAGAGTACTAGGATTTTTGCAGTCAATTAATTCCTTAACCACTATAGGAAGAAGCAGGATTCATGGGACTTCCCTGGCTGTCCAGCAGTTAAAACTCCGAGCTTCCATGGCAAGGGGTGCCGGTTCAATCCCTGGTTGGGGATCTAAGATCCCACGGATCCCACGTGCCACGTGGTGCCACAAAAAAAAACACACACAAAAAAAGCAGGATTCAGGAGGCAACAAATGTTTAAAGGAAGACAGAGAAACCAAGAGGCCTAAATCTAAGGTATTTGATCAGAGTCAAAAGTGTATGTGTGTCCAGGGAGCCAAGAGCACTTACGTAAAAGAACTTTGGAAATGAGAAATCATCTGGTACATTTCAGAGATTTTTCAGAAAGGCCAAGCACCCTTTGAAAACCTCTTCTTAATAGTCATGTATTTAAAAAGATCTAGGAGATTAAACCTTGATATTTTGGTATAAAACATAAGTGGAGCCAACCAGACAAGAATTTCACCTAAACATGCCATCAGGTCCCCTCCAGGAAATGGTACGCCGATGCCTGTCAAGCGGCAGTGGTTAGGTGGGTGTTTATTCTCCAAACACCCTGTGTGGCCAATTAGGAGCGGCACTGACAGTACCTTTAGATGTCAGCCAGCGAGTCTTTTTCTTTTTTCTCTTTCCCAATTATAAAGCCTTTTGCCTGCGCAAAAGACACATGCGTCAAAAACACTGATGCAATGAGACGCTAATATCAGATTGCATCATATGATCCTAGGTGTGGTGCCCCGAAACTGGTTTTTCTTGAGGTCACACTGCCATAGAAAAGCGCTTTGGGTAGAACATCCAAGAACTGACCCTACTCGTCAGATGGCAAAAGTAATTTTTGCAACTACATGCCTCAGTTCCACACCACTATTTTCCCGGAGGAAGCCGGTGTGGCTTTCCTGGCTGAAATGGGTGTGCGGTCGACATTCATCAGTTAGGTATGTCATGCTGCAGCTTTGTAACGAATGTCACCTAGGGAGATGCACCTACCAGGCAGGCTGGAAACGACACTTCTGCCTCCAAGATGTGCTCTGAATTCTCTCTCACTTGAATGGAGCAACTTCTCTGGGACAGACCAGTTTGGTGCAAAACTGGAAGAGGAGAAAGGAGAGAAGTTTGCGGACGTTTCTCGGACACTTAACTGGGTGTCTGGCACTGTGTTCTAAGCACTTCACGCACGGAACTACGGAATTGTGGGTTCCAACTGCCAGCCTGCCATCACTGGGACCCACGGCAGGCTATTTTGCTGCCCCGGGTGTTCATAAAATCATACATCAAGTTAAATTAGGCTACTTTTAAGGTCCCTCCCAGAAAAGGAATGCTATTCAACTTGGCCACAGAAAGGTGTACCTCCTGTTGGACAGTTAACTTTCTGGTCCAGTGTCTATAAAAAATAATCACTGATCATGGGAGTGATGCTACTGCCCACTGGAAAACTGGTCTGTGTTTGTACAGTTGGGTTAGGCTAGGACGATACAACTTGGCTCTTTACCATCCAACGTGAGAGCCATGCCGGAAATGTGGCTAGTGCAAATTGAGATGTGCTGTCAGTGTACTTACACTGGATTTCTAAGACTTAGGACAACATAAAAGAGTATGAAATATCTCATTAATAATTTGATTATATTGATCACATGTTGAAATGATAATATTTTTGACCTTTAGGTAAATGTAGTATTAAAATGAATATCACCTGTTTCTTTTTAATCTTTTCAATGTGGCCAGCACAAATTTTTAAATTACCTATTTAAAATGTTGTGGTTCACATTTCATTTCTATTGGAGAGCACTACCTCCAAAAAGCGTAGCTGGAAACCAGTAATTCGCTCAGGACCCAACACTTTCTGCCTCTGTTCTCTAGTTCCCCCATCAGCTAAATGGCAAGATATAGTTTGGGCTAAATTTTCGGGGGGTTACTTCTGGATTAAATGTCCCCTGATTCTAAGAACAGTAGTTGGTGGAGGCTTCCTGTCATGGTGTTTGGAAAGATGTTTTCTAGTAGAGGAAGATCTTTTAAGCCTCTGCTACGAGTGAGCCATGAGATTTTGGAATCCAAGTGGTCTTTAAATATTATCTTTGGAACTTTAGGCTCCCTAGTCTGTAAGCCCATCCTGGGCTGGGCTTGTGACTCATTCATCTTTGTTTTTCCAGCAACCACCCAGGGCAGTCTGACTTGTAGTCAGCTGTCCATAAATGTTTGTTGACCTATATAATATCCAGACGAAGAACCAAAGCCCAGAGAGGTACTGAGACCACCTAAGGCCACACAGAGCCGGCTGGTAGGAGATTCAAGAAGAATACCGTCCTCTTGAACCAGTTCAGGAAACCCTCGGTGTGGTCCCTGGACCAGCAGAAGCTGCAACACTTGGGCGTTTGTTAGAAACACAGAATCTCAGGCCCGGCCCCAGCCCTACTGAATCTGAACCTGAATTTTTATTAAGATTCCCCCCAGGTGATTTGTATGTATGTTAAAGTATGAAAACTGCCGCTTGAAGTCATGTCACCTCTCTCAAGGAAAGCCTCCCTGTCTGTGCCCTGCAGAAGCTATTCCAAGTCTATTTCCAGGGTGAAGAGGTATAGGATGCTAGTCACCAAGACTCACATGCTGGCTGATGAAAACTCAGATTTAAAGATATTCCAGTAAGATTGGCTGAGCCGCTGCTATGCCCAGTACCAGGAGCCAGTGCACTTGCTTCTCTTCCTGAGGGCTTGAGGGGCTCACACTTTTGTAGCTCCAGCCACCTGCACCTCAAGGAACAAGCAGTTTTCACAAGTTTGCCCCCCGTTGGTCCTGCTATCCTGCTTTCATACAAGGGAGTCCAGGAGAAATTTGAAATGAAACCAGGCACACCTTGGGAGTCCAATCTAATTTTTCAGATCCAGGAAAAACAGGACCAAAATCAATTGCATCAATGTCTGTATGTTGTTTATATCTACCAGTGCCTCCCCTCTCTGCTTCTGCACTGGTGTTCGCAATTCGTGGTGTGCTCCTGGCCTGTGATAGAGCCCAGTTGGCAGAATTGGTCTTTTTAAGACTATCTCTCATCCAAGCTTGCAAATAAAAGCTGTCTACTGCAGAGATTCTATTTTCCCCTGGCCGTGGGCAGGATGGATATATGGTTTTGAGGCTAGAGAAGGACAAACAATTTGCAGGCCTTACCGACGTTCGCCCAGCATCGATTGTGTAATGGAGCTGAGAAGCCAGGCAACTTTCCGGTGAGGACAAGAGACAGAGTTTGAATGGACAAGAAAAACCAGGGCTTTGGGCTCAGCTACAGAATCGGGTCATGTGCCTGGAATGTTAGTGATAAAGCTAGAAGGAGTTCAGCCTGTTGAGTATGTCAGGGGGCCCTGCTGGCTGGGAACCCCTGCATTTCAGGCCATGTCATGTCATCCCAAACTACCACAACCCTTTGGAAAATGAACAAACCAAAACAATGGCGGCCCCCACTGTGCTAACTACCCGGAGTGTCTGATTTTCACCTTCACTGAATGGACTGAGTCAGCCGGGTGAGAGAAAAGAGGTCTTCAATTGAATCAAGCTCTGACATTTATTGAGCACCTACTATGTGCCAGAGATCGGGTCACGTGCTCTACGTAGAAAAGCCTGTTTAATCTTTATAACATCCATACAACAATGGCTACTGCTATGGGTCCCTGTATTAGTCTGCTAGGGCTGCTGTAACAAAGCATAACGGACTGGGGGCACTTAAACCTCAGAAGTTTATTTTCTCCCAATTCTGGAGGCTGGAGGTCCAATATCAAGGTGTTGGCAGGGTTGGTTTCTTCCAAGGCCTCTCTCTTTGGCTTGTAGACAGCCATCTTCTCCCTGTGTCCTCCCATGGTCTTCCCTCTGTGTGTGTCTATGTCCTATTCTCCTCTTCTTATAACGCCACCAGTCATACTGGATTAGGGCCCACCCTAGTGATCCCATTTTAACTTAATTACCTCCTTAAAGACCCTACTGCCAAATACAATCAGATTCTGAGGTATTTGGGGTTCGGACTTTAACATAAGAATTTTAGGGGGGTGGGGGGGGACACAATTCATCCCATAACAGTCCCATTTTACAGATAAGGAGACTGAGACAAAAAGTTTAAGTAACTCAGTCACGGTCTAGCAGGTGGAAGTGGAGAAGCCAAGATTTCAACCTCAGCAAGTGACTCCCAACCCATTCTTTCTTGTTTGTCAGACAGACCCGGCCCTGGGACCGGGCACAGGGCAATCTCTGAGAACCTCAGGCCCCAAGTGTGGAAAACAGAGCCAGCTCACCAAAGAGGAGAGGGATCCGCTCAAGGCTGTAGGTCCAGCAGGCACACGCTCCCCAGCGCGTGGAAAGTGCATGATGGAGCTGATTCTGGCCTCCTCCCATTGACCTCTCCAGGACCTGGGCTCCTAGACTCTCAATGGGGCCAACCATTCCTGCCCTGCCTGCTCCCAGGGGTGGCACATGAAAGGGCTTCCTAAACTGTAAAAGGGCTGTTCCCATGTAAGGGAAAC